TAGATTTTCACTTCCTGTTTCATTGTTCTGTGTGTTTGCAAATAACGTACTCGTGTGCACCCTTGGCTTTAGTGCTTGTAGGTGGTATGTAGCCAAGCTTGTAAAGCATAAGGTAGTATTAAAACGATTATAGGAAAAGCTCAATTTGTAAGGTAGTCTTGAAAAGATCGCTTTGTAAGGTCCCACACAGGAAGATTCAGTTAGCCTCAAAGAGTGTCCGTCAGTCAGGAAGAGATTCAGGTATTCTTGAAAATCTATGGTAAACACCACCATGGAAGCTGCTAACACTGTTCATCTATGCTACTTGTATCAGATGCATCATCCCTGAACGCAGAAAACGATTCATCTATGTACCATTTTTATAAATTGGAAATGGCAAGGGTGGGGCTCAGAGCTACAACTGGATACGCTCGCTGTATCATGCTCATCGGTGCTGTATCACTTGCATCCGACTGTTGTGTTAAGTCCTTATTGCTCCTAGCTTCACCAACATTATGACCCTTATGTTCTTCAAACGACAAGGTCTGAATTTCACCGACTGAGCGCAATCTTTCAACACCGTGTTGGACAGGTGTTTGGGAGCCAGTGGCACGTGTGCCACAAATGGTTGCTCACGCAGTACTAACCCAGCCAGCAGCCCTTGTCTTTCATATTCGTTATAACAAAAGGTTCGTTCAGTGTTTGTTGGGTAGGCTGCTGCTCCATTATGACAATCTTTCTTTGTTTCAAATGTTCCATTTGTTTTGTATTTGTCACTTACGTCTCAATAATGGAGCAGCCTACCCGACAAACACTGAACGAACCTCTATGGCATTTGTCCATTTTTCAAATTGTTTCAACAGTTTTTATTTTTCGTTTTTTTTTTTTTATGTAAGAAACATGGAGCAGCCTACCTGCTGACCACCGAACGAACCTTTTGCTATAAGACAAATTAAAAATAAATATTGAACACATTTGAAGAAAGAAAAATGTCATAATGGTTTGTTCAGTGTATGTAAGGTAGGCTGCTCCATTATTAAGATGTAAATGACAAATACAAAACAAATGGAACACATTTGAAACAAAGAAAGATTGTTATAATGGAGCAGCCTACCTGCCAAAGTTGAACAAATCTTTTTGACATTTGTTGTATATCAGAAATTTCTTTTCTTTTTTTCTACAAAAGCGTCAATGCATTGCAACATCTCAGCAGTCACCCCTTTATATCCCAGCATCATTAGCATCTTTAAACAAGAACAACGTAATTTATGTGCATCGTCGGAGGCGTCTGAGAATGTGCAAGAAGCAACGCGACCCCACCATGTGGTGTTGACGTTACTCAAACGAGCGTTCGCCATACAGGACGATTTGACGCCGATCGGGCCATTCGTTACCCAAAATGTTCGCCTTTTGGGGCGATCGTTATGCGAGGTACCACTGTAATTTGATTTCTTAGTATATACATTATATTACTGATAAATCTGAATATTGAAAACTGATTCATTTGTCTCGGTTATTGTAACACAAATGCTCTTTCTATTATATATTGTTAAGTTTAACATTCAGTTTTGAGAAAAATGTTATTCTTGTATGCAATTCTTGTGCTTGGTGGGGTTCTAACAAGTAAGTTTAATATAAGTATCCTTAAATTATGCCACAAAAACTGAAATAGACCCCAAGGCCAGGTTGTACTATTCTTTAGGCTGTGTTTGGGTGAGATAATGTCTGAAGTGGGGCAGTGTGCTATCAAGTCTACCCTGAGTACAGAGAGAGTATATTTTAGCAGCATATTTGCTTCTAGATCCAGTGTTAGAGTTAGTACAGTATAATGATAGTGATGTGCAAGTATACCCACATATTAGAGAAGGGGAAACTATACATTTTGATACAACTTGAACCATTATCTAAGTTACAATTTGATAATGGTCCATGGTGGACTTATAATGTTGTGATAATTCTCACATGTGTGGTTTTACCGTTTACTTCGTGATGGTATTGTGACTTATGTATGTGTATAATGAGAGTACTGTACCAGTGTTGGTGGTGGGAAGATCCCTGGCAGTGTTGGTTCGAATCTTCTAAAGGGTCATGATGAGAGAGAGAGATATATATATATATATATGTATGTATATATATATATATATATATATATATATATATATATATATATATATATATATATATATATATATATATATATATATATATATATATATATATATATATATATATATATATATATATATATATATATATATATATATATATATATATATATATATATATATATATATATATATATATATATATATATATATATATATATATATATATATATATATATATATATACACACACACACACACACACACACACACACACACACACACACACACACACACACACACACACACACACACACACACACACACACACACACACACACACACACACACACACACACACACACACACACACACACACACACACACACACACACACACACACACACACACACACACACACACACACACACACACACACACAGAGCCTGATAGGCTCAGGAATCTGTACACCTGTTGATTGACGGTTGAGAGGCGGGACCAAAGAGCCAGAGCTCAACCCCCGCAAACACAACTAGGTGAGTACACACACACACACATTTATTTATCAGGACCAAAGAGCCAGAGCTCAACCTCCCTGCACCATATATACACACACACGAGCCACAGGGACTTTGAAAGAACTTTTTCAGTGTCAGAGTAGTTAATGGATGGAATGCATTAGGCAGTGATGTGGAGGAGGCTGACTCCATACACAGTTTCAAATGTAGATATGATAGAGCCCAGTTGGCTCAGGAATCTGTACATCAGTTGATTGACAGTTGAGAGGTGGGACGAAAGAGCCAGAGCTCAGCCCCTGCAAGCACAACTAGGCGAGTACACACACGTGCGTACATACATATATACATACGTTCATACATATTCACACACACGTATTGTGCCTAATAGCCATAACTGCATTTCTTGGCCTAATATGCAAGGCTTGATGTGCCTAACAGGCAGAATGATTTTATTTTAAAATATTTCTTTCCAGATTGGTTCTTTTCTAACAAATATTTTATTGTTCGGAACATGAATTACTGACTGACTGGTTAGGTTTGGATAGGTTAGGTTAGTTAAGTTAGGTCAGGTTTGATCAAATTTCTTAGTTTTAATTCAAGTAACATATAATTGCAATCATAAATAATGCAATGAAAACTTTAACATTTCATAAGAATTTTATTTTGTTTTCACAAATTTAAACAAAATTCGGCCTGTTGGACAATTCTGGTTATTAGGTATGACATATACACACACATACATATATTCATACATATACACAAACATATATATACAGTATACACATATACATATACCCACATGTGAGGAAGGCTGTAGGAACACAGTCATAGATCACTAAAAACTCTAAATGACTCTACCAGGATTCGAACCCATGATGTTCAGGATCACTCTCAAACGTACAAACTACTGTGACCACCGTACCATTGATCATCTTTAAACATGAGAATAAAGATAACTGCAGAAGACCTATTGGGCCATATGAGGCAGCTCCTATTTATAACCACCCAGTCCCACTCATATACATGTCCAACCCACGTTTGAAACAATCAAGGGACCCCACCTCCACCAAGCCATGCAGTAATTGGTTCCACAAATCAACAACCCTGTTACTGAACCAGTAGTTACCCAGGTCTTTCTTGAACCTTAACTTATCCAATTTATACCCATTTTTTTTTTTGTTGTTGTCTTGTGTTGATACTTATAATACCCTATTAATATCCCCTTTGTTATACCCATCATCCACTTGTACACCTCTATCATGTCACCCCTAATTCTTTGCCTTTCTAGAGAATGTAAATTAAGCTTTGTCAATCTTTCTTCATATGACAGGTGTTTAATTTGGGGAATTAACTTTGTCATCCTACGCTGGACGCATTCTAGTGAATTTATATCCATTTTATAGTACGGCGACCAAAACTGAACTGCATAATCCAAATGGGGCCTAACCAGAGCAAGATTTAGCTGAAGAACAACACCAGGTGTCTTGTTATTAAACGATCAATGGTGCAGTGGTTACGATACTCTTGTGTTTGGGATTGATGTTAACGTCATGGGTTCGAATCCTGGTCATGTCGATAAAAAACCATTTAGGGTTTTTAGTGATACACATATATATACATACAGTATACGCATAACACCCACATTGTGCCACCTTAAATGTTTTGTAATCTTGATGTACTAATTACATGAAAATAAACATTTTGGGAAGTAACTTCACCTTTCTCGGCCTGCCACAGCCAGACTATATCATCTAGAATTTTGTGCCAATTTTTCTCAATCCATTTTCTCAATACTGTAATTTCATAAGGCAACATATTTCCTTAATTTTGTAAAAATTCAGATAAGTACATGGGAGGTCGTCCACTAAACAAATGCCACAGTGGAAGGGTTAATAAATATTGTTTTTTGCAATATTTTTGTATACTTCAATGTAGCAAATTCAATGTAAAATGTGTCATATTTTGGGTAAAAAAAAAAAAAAAGGGTGAATTTAAGATGGTTAGTTAATTTTTTTTAGGTACATATGTTTCTAATGTACAGATTTCATTAACATGGTTTTTGGTTGGTTAATCTAATGAAAATAGTAATATCATTTACTGGTGTTAGTTGAACATTTGTGTGGATCATTTTGGTTGGAGGACTGAGGTTAATGGTTCTTGCATGGGATATAAAGGTGTTAAGTGTTTGGTTGGTTTGTCAATGTTTTGTCTGCCCACCTGCACTATGATGATACTCTGAAGAAGTCTTGTACAGATTATAACTGTAATCATTTTTATTTGGCTTGGTGAGAGTAAATTGAAGTTAACGATACATTCAGGTGAAGAATGAGTCGTGCCTGCTATACTTTTATTTTACAGATGACAAGATTTCCTTGCTGGTCTGGTGTGGGCTTGTGCATTAAAGATCTCTAATATAAGCTATTCTCTTCCTTACTTGGCTAGTTCCTGCATCATGCACATCTAACTTAATGAAGGTTATTCCATTTGATTTGTACAATTTTGAACTATTTGTCTGCATTATGGTATTACTGTTAACAGAAAATGGACAGTTGGCACATGCTACCATAGTATCAAAATTGAGCATTGTGAATAAAGGAGGTAACGAAGTTAATTTGGGCTGTGAGTATGTAAATTAGGGTACACGTTGGCCACTAACTGGGTACTACAATAACCATGCTTAGAAAGTGTTGGAAGCTGTTTTCTTCAGACTCTTTGCTATGGACCTCACAAAGTGCTTAAGACTTTAGGGAACTGTGTATATATATATATGTTTTAAATTGTAAAGATATAATCCATTGGTTGTCTGTAAGTGAAACTTATTTTTCCACTTTACCTTATCCTCATAAGGCTTGAGGTACCCATTATATTCCCTACAGATGTTGGATGTACGAAATGTTTCTCCCATTATTTAGAAACCAAAGTTTGTAATATGCATTTATATCATGAAAGGTGATGTTCTCTTGGTAGTGTATTGCCACCACTAAATGGTGTTGTGATAACTGTACCACTTCTACAGGTGTGTCGTGCATAGCTGACTTCGTCTGGCAAGTTTGAGTTATTCGATTGGTCTTGTTTCTCAAGTTTTTTCTGTTGCAGGTGTTAGAATTTAACGATCACAAAAGACTAATGGTATCTCCCTGAATTGTCAGGGGTTAGGTCAACCAGTTTAATAGACTTTTTCATTGATGTATCATTTTGGTTTTTCTGCAGATTGCAAATTGGCAATTTGGGGGAACGAGTTTTTATAACTGTGTATATAGAGTATCAAGAGGGACAAGTGAGCCTCAGTGATGTGTTGTGAACGTGCAATCTTTTTGCGTGTGCAAGTATGTACGTGCTCTTATTAGGATGCGAGAAGGTTTACCCTAGTGGTACGTGTCCACTTAGTGTAAATATGTAATGTCAGTCATTGTTTCCCGTTATATAACTTGTACAGTAAATTGTGCAATTATTTGTTGTACAAGTTAAAATATGTAGTGTACAGTAAATGATGCAGTATGTATTATTTTATTATGAAACTGATCCTTGTCTACTAACCTCCACCAAGCTAGCTTCCCCTCACCTGCCACAAACCTTTTATTTTTCTGTAGTTGCAGTCTTGTTGCTAGGTTGATGATAGCGCCTGTACAATGTGCCCAAGTACTTACATGTAACCATTTGTTTATTAAATTATTTCCTGTTACTTTCATTGGGGCTATTAAAATATATGACATAGTCCCTAACTTGGTTCTACATAATGTCCGAGTCCTTGGTCTAAGTATATAATTTAAATATTTGTACACAATATATGCTGAATGCACTGAGAATCTGAAAAATTGCAGCAACATGTGCAAATGACGGTTACTTAAATAATTGCCATTGTCAGGGGCAGGAAGTGTGTGTGTGTGTGTGAACGTGCATACATGCTACATATAAACTAGGAGGGGATACCTGGCATTGCCCAGATCTGTGTATCTGGCTCCCCACCTCTATTTCTTGCTCATTACCCTTTGACCCCTCTTACCCCTCGTGGTCACCTGTCCCTCAATAGAATTTTTGGTGACTCGGATACTTTTGATATCGTTCGCCTTATGCATTTTTGTTCTCGTATTGGCATCCTTGGGGATATTTAGCGCCCTCTGATTATTCCGCACATTTGATGGTGCTACATAGCCTTTCCGGTTTGGTGCCTTCTTTTTATAATTCCTTACTTACTTTGACCCCTCTTACCATCTCCTTGGTCTGCCCTTCATTCCTCCTTCCCGAGTCCCCTCTTTCCCCCCCTGATATCCCTCTCTTTTCCCCCTGGTTCCCGTCTCGAAAAACTGAAACAACTGTATGGGTCTTGGAAATATATATTATGATCACTAACAACTCCATTGGGAATCACATAAATTTCAGTTGACTATGAAAATTACCTGGGGGGGGGGTCTCATAATTGCTAATATTTTTTAAGGCATTTAACTTAGGCCTACACTGCCAGTCTTATGTCCATCCCATACCTCGAACCGTACTCCGCCTCTGCTAATTTGGGCAAGGCTGGCCCCAAGTAGCCCTCCCTTCCCCATTATAGCCTTCCTGGTTTGGTGCCTTCTTTTGATAATTACTTACTTCCCCACAAGCCCCCCACTCAGTGGGTGGTGCCTTCACAGTGATGGCACTCTTGCACCACCACTCTTGGGTAGGTGGTGGTGCACCTGCTGCTCCTCTCTCCTGTCTGCTGTAGTGGTGCACAAGTGAAATACACCCCCATGTGTTAGCCATGCATGGTGACCTGTGCATTTCCTTGTTTCTTCATCAAGGAGGTGACCCTACCCAGTGGCTGTGGCCCCCCTGGGGAGCAACATGCTGCTTTGGTGGGTGGGGGGGATGAGGTAAAAACAAACATTCAGTGCAAATCAGCTTGTCTGGCTAGCCTGCCAAGTTAGACATGGGGTCAAGCGGGCATTGTGGAGTTCGTGTCCTTATCGGTCCCCTGGAATGCCTTTCAGCCCTTCGATGGTGACTTACGTATACTGTTCCAGTTACCCCCCCGAGGGTAACTTAAGACTTTTAAAGACGCTCTGGCTTCATAGCTCCAGCTATGATAAGCTCAAACTAAGCTTAGTCTTTGAGTACCCCAACTGACCCTTTCCGTTCCTCTCCCACTTCTCTAGTAGGGTCGAGCCACAAGCCCCAGTGGTGACTACCTCATCAGCGTTGCTTTGTTATTGTGGCACACTGTGTGCTTTCATGGCTCGGGAGTCGTTTAATCCAATGCATCCTCTAGTGGTTGAAATTCAATATTGGCTGTTTCTTGTCTAACAGATTTATGACAATTGAGTTTTGCTGGGTTCCCAGACATATTGATATTACCTTAAATGAACATGCAGACACAGGCCCCCCCCCCCCCCAAAAAAAAAAAAAATGTTGAAATTTCAACCCACTCATTCATTTTGTGGTCTGCAACCATTGTTAGGGTTGTTTGTCTGGTGTAACAGTTAACAGACTATGCAATCTTAAAGGTAACTTATTCCATTAGCCTTCCTCCAGTCACACCTAATAGATGGTGGGAAATGACTGTTACATAATGGCCATACACACAAAACTCACTGGCACTTGATGGAACGCCGCGCTGCTCCTTATTTTCCACGTTTCATTGTACTGCTTAGTCGTGCACCTCTTTGTAGAATGTCCCATTTTTCAGGACAGTTGTACATTTTCCTTTCCCCTTGATAGAATCCTTGGTGAATCCAATACTTTGATATTACTCGCCTCGTGTCGTTTTTTCTTGTTGGCATCCTGAGTGATAATTATCACCTTTTGAATATCCAGTGACACTTGATGGTGTTACATAATCATCTCGGCTTGGTGTCTTCTTTTGATAATTACAGTACTTTGAATAAGCAAGGCCATTGCTTGCTTATTCGCTACACTACTTCGGTTCCATCCCTGCACGGGCCAAAATGTTTGGACACGTTTAACCCTTAAATACCTTGGTTTATGTTCTGCATCATGGTGTGTGCAAAAAAAATGCATTTGACTATGCGAGCACAGGAGATAATCACAGATTGGAGCCACTTAATGGTCAATTAGTTAATGCCCCTGTTCACGTAGCAGTGAATAGGTGTCCGGAAATTAAGCAACTGTTGTGTGTTGCATCTTGTGGAAGGTCAATAGTTAGCCTAGTGGCCTAAAGCTTAAGAGGCATCCTGTCCCTGACAATGGGAAACCATAAACACACTGGGCATTGAAAAGGAGTATTGAAGGGAAATAAAGATGCACCTAGCATCCTCACTCGGTAGGAAACAGCAGTCCATTAGTTTTATCACTTTCATATTCCCTGCAACTAAGAAAAAGTATAATAGGTAAAGCTTTAGGTGTTAATTCTCAGCATTATTTCAGTGTGTGAAAATGTAGGACATATTAAGGCAACCAGCGTATGTGTGTTACTTTTCAAACTGCTTAAAAAAAATAATTGATCTCGGACTCTTAACACTATCACAAACATAAATTATCCTTAATTATAAGAAATAAAATGTATCTCCCCAAAAGGGCAGCAGCCAAGGCTTTATAACTTAATTTACCTATCACTAAATCAAATACAGTAGCATCATCTCTCATGGCAGCTCCAGAACATGTTACCAACTGTAACATCCAATGTGTGGGGGGCCACTATAGGCACTCACTCGGTTGCCTTGGACATCAAACTTGACACAGCGATATTTGCATTTTTATTATAAAATTGAGGATTAATCTGTTGATTAACTAATAATGTGGGACCATATGATTACATATCCACCTTTGGGGTGGATGTATTTATACTCAATACATATATATAGTGTAGTATTATATAGGGTATAATAGTATTCAGTACACGGAATTGTTGTACTATTTACATTAACATTAGCCTTGGCAACTGCCCCAATCAGTAAATCTTCTCAATGTACAACCTGATTTTTAAATTTGCCAAAATTTGCTGTTGAAATAATAAGTTGTTATTTTACGGTTTATTTTGTTTCGTCTTTGTTAATGTGTAGGATAGATAGGATTTTTGTGTATAAAGATGAGCAAGGTATTCATTGGCAGGGGCGTGGGTTGCTAGGTGGAGGTAGCAGCAACTGTACAAATCAAGATACATGACACATTAATATGTGCATTCACCCCCTCTCCCCCACCCCCACACACACACGTATGTACGTAACAAATTACACATACGTATACACAGATGTATGTGTACACACCCATCCACCCCCACACGCAGCTGCCTGGCTAGTGACACCCATGTAAGATGCGAGTGTACACACCCATCCACCCCACACGCAGCTGCCTGGCTAGTGACACCCATGTAAGATGCGAGTGTACACACCCATCCACCCCACACGCAGCTGCCTGGCTAGTGACACCCATGTAAGATGCGAGTGAAGGTGTTATTATTACAACATCAGTATAAAGCAGGGCCACATTCTGAGCTCTCCTGGCCGCCACCTTCATGTGGGAAATCACTAAGTGATATCTGAATGTGATGATTCTGTTTTTCCAGAATTGTTTAAGCAAAAAGGAATTCTATATACTGTAGTAATATTTATGTATAGCTTAAT